AGACGGGGGGTGAGGAGGTTGGGGAGGAAGCGGCAGAGGCCCGCCAGCTGGTTGGCCCGAGCCGCAGGGATGCAGGTTCCATGCCGGAGGAACTCGGCCCACCCCTGACCTCTGCGCGGGCTGCTGTTGATGTTGATCGCCTCTTTTTGTTTGTTCCATCTGGATTCGGTAGCCTGGCTCAGGACGGTTTGACTTGGTGCTTCTCACCTGGCAACTCCACATGACCTCGCCTCTCTATGATAAAGCGTCGCCGGCAGTTCCACACCCAGCCGGACTTCTAGTAAACTTGTGGCATGTTTGCAGGACACCGGTCTTCCACTTCCATCCAGGAAGGGAGACCCGATAGTGCAGAGAGGGCCTTGGAATGAAGCTAAGGAATGAAGAACTCATTCTTGTCGTGTGGATTATGGACAGTGGAGATGGGACGCATTTTTTCCTTTCATTCTCTTAACAGTGTCCTTCACAGAGTAGAACCTTCACAGAGTAGAACCTTCTACTTTCAACGAAGTTCAGTTCATCAATTTGTTTTTTTTAATGGGTCTGTGCCATAGCTAAGAAATCTTTGCCTAACCCAAGGCTGCAAAGATTTTCTTCTATGTTTTCTTCTAGGAGTTTTGTAGTTTTAAGTTATACATTTAGATCTATGATCCATTTTAAGTTAACTTGTGCAGCTGGAGGGTAAGGGTCGAGGCTCACTTCTTTTGCATATGGATGCCCAATTGAAAAGAATATCCTTCCTCCCTTGTAGTACCTTTGCACCTTTGTTAAAAATCAGTTGTCTGTATTTGTGTAGATACATTTCTGGACTCAATTCTGTTCCATTGATCTGTTTGAAGTTTTATAATAAGTTTTAAAATCACATAGTGTTAGCTTTTCAAATGTGTTCTTTTTCACACTTGTTTTGGTTATCCTAGGTCCTTTGTACATCCACGTAAATTCTAGAAGCAGCTTGTTCGTTTCTGCAAAAAAGATGCTTGGATTTTGATAGGCATTGCATTAAAACTGTTGATTTGTATAGAATTCATATCATAAAATGATATTGAGTTGCCTGGCCAATGAAAATCTGTATATCCATTGATATATCTCTTCATTAATTTTGCTCAGCATTATTTGATAGTTTTTAGTATATAGGTTTTGCATATCTTTTGTCAGATTTATCCCTATGAATTGCTGTTTTTGATGCTATTGTAAATATATTATTCTTTTACTTTCATTGTTTATTTATCATTGCTACCAAATGGAAGTCATTTTTTTGCCCATTGCATCCTGCAACCTTTCTAAACTCACTTATTAGTTCTAGTAGGTTTTTTTGTTAAGTCTATCAGATTTTGTACATAGACAATCTTTTCATCTTGTAAATACAGTTTTCTTTCCAATTTGAATGCCTTTCATTTCATTTTCTTGCCTTATAGCACTGATTAGAACCTCCAGTACAGTGCTGAACAGAAGTGGTCGGAGTGGACATCCTTATCTTGTTCCTGGTTTTAGGAAGAAAACATCTGTCTTTCAAAATTAAGTATGACACTAGCTGTAGGTTTTTCATTGATGTTCTTAATATGTTGAAGATGTTTCTTTGTATTCCCAGTTTTCTGAGAGTTTTTATCAGAGTGGATATCAGATTTTTTCAAAGGATTTCTTCATTTATTAAGATGATAAGATTTTTTTTTCATTTTTACTTTGTTAATAGGGTGATTTACATTGCTTAAATTTGTAGGAAGATACCCAACCAAAATGTGTGCATCTGAGCACCAAGGGTCATGACAAAAAAAGGTTGATAACCTTTATTGATAAGCATTATTCCCAATGGCCACAAACTGGAAACAAATGCAAATATCCATCAAAAGGGAAATGCCATTTGACCCCATGATCCCATTTCTAGAAATGTGTTCTAAGAATCCTGAAACACCAACCAGAAAGAATATATGCACCCCTATGTTCATTGCAGTGTTATTTACAATAGCTATATTTTAGAGTTGACTTTTAAATTTCTGAAAAATCCTCTTTGGGAATATTAATTGGGATTACATTGAACCTAGACATCGATTTGGGGAGAATTGGCATCTTGACAATACTGAATCCTAAACACCATAACTATCTTTCCACGTATTTAGGTCTTTAATTTATTAATGTCCTGAGTGTTTCATAGTTTTCTATGCAAGAATGTTACACATCTTTTGCTAGATTTGTTTCTAGACATTGATTTTTTTTATTGTACTTTGAATATATTTTCTAACTTTATGTTGCCAGTATATAGAAATATAATTACTTTTTGTATATTGACTTGTATCCCAACAACCTCGCTAAACTTAATTATTGATTCTAAGAATTTATCTTTGTATTCTTTTGCATTTATCATATACACACTTAGAACTATAAATAGTGACAACTTTTTCTTCCTTCTAAGTTTTTGTACCTTTTATTTATTTTACTTGCCTTATTATGTTAACTTAGACCTCCAGTAGAGTGTGAATACATGTCAAAAGAGTGTAACTTCTGTCATTCCCAATTCCCAAGGGAAAGTTTTCAACATTTTCACCCTTAAGTATGACTGTTGTGTGTTTATGTAGGAAGCTATTACCATGTTAAGAAAATTTCCTTCTATTCCTGCATTCCTAAAGCTTTATCACGAATATATCTAGTATTTCATCACTTCCTTTTTCTATAACTTTTGAGATGATTGTATTTGTTGATTCTCTTTTTGGTGTGCTTATTTTCTATTTCTTTTTGTGAGTGGCTAATCTTTGTAATTTCCTTCACTTCACTCTCTGGGTTTAATTTGCTGTTCTTTTTATAACTTTTGGGAATGCACGTGTAGTTCATTGACCTCAGCCTTTTTTTCTAATATATGCAAGATTTCCTAGAAGATGCAAGCTATAGTTTTCTCTTTAAGCAGGTTTCAAGGTATTACATTTTCACTACCGTTCAGTTCACAATACTTTGAGATTTGTTTTATAATTCCTCCTGAGAATTACAGAATAACCTGTAATTCAATAACCTGTGGGTTATTGAAAAGTAATTTTTTAACTTCAAAATTTATGGAGATTTTTCCCTTTACTTTTTGGTTCTCTATTGCCCTTTACTTGTGCTATTTCAGATAACATGTGTCCTTGGCTTCAGTCTTTTGAAAGTTGTTGAGACTTGCCCCATTGCAGTTTTAGGTGTTCCAGGTGATCTTGAAAGAATGAGTATTGTACATTTATCAGGTGCTGTGTTCTACTGTGAATTAAAAATATCACCTTGTACTTACTGAGAGCTCTTGGCTTTATTCTGGACCTCCTTTTCCATCGTCTCTTGCGTACTCCTGCTTAATTTGGATTCTTCATCCTGCAGTTTCTCCTCAATGTGGAGGTTTGCCCTGGAAAAGAATTTCAGCAGATTTTAACAATTCTAAAGAATATGGCTACAGCTAATCTTTTCAACTCTTGTTACTTCTAGTAGCAGGAATTTGAAAAGAAATGTGCAGAATATTTTTTTACTTCTGCTAACCTGAAGAGAAAGCTAGGGAAGACAGAAAGTTACAATTTATGAGATCAAAAAAATGAGTTCTGCCCAGCCAGGCATGGCTCAGCGGTTGAGCATCAACCTAGGATCCAGGTGATCGGGGTTCGATTCCGGGTCAGGGCACATGCCCGGGTTGCGGGCTGCAACCTATCAGTGACTCTCTCATCATTGATGTTTCTATCTCTCTCTCTCCCTCTCCTTTCCTCTCTCTGAAATCAATAAAGATATATTAAAAATAAATAAAAATGAGTTCTTTGCAGCTCTTGCCCTTTTCCCATTGGCAATAGTTGTTGGTTTCTGTGTGTAGAAGGGGGCCCTATTCTTAAACTCTAAAGTGGTGTGTTGAAATTGATGATTCATTTTATTTTAAGAAGTAATGGAGTTTTGCATTGGCTATATCAAATAATAACTTCTTTATTTCTAGTTTTTAAAAATTGAACATTACCCAGAGGAACTACAAATTGTTGTGTGTTTTTTTCCAGCTGAAAAACTACGTGAAGTTCTTAGGCAGTATAAAACGAAAAAATTTTCCAAATCTTCAACAGTACAGGTATGTAAATTAAAGTCTAACAAGCTGGTTCATTTTGGTTGTAAATATATCTACATAAATAGGAATCAAATTCTACTTTGGATTATTCTCATGTGAAGTTGCCTACAGCATTTTGAAATTTTACTTACAATTTTGATTCTTGTAAGGAAGAAAACTTGTTTTTGCTTAATGAATGTAAATTCTTTGACCATAGAAATTGCCCTTTTTTAAAAGAGTTGGAGCTTACATATTCAGCATGGCATTAAAATGTCTGAGTTCTAAAATGAGAATTCATTGTTGTTTTGAAACATTCTAAAATTGTTTTTCAGGATACAGCCAGTTGTAAACTTTAACTCCCTAAGTTCTCATAAATTATGATGGAAGCATAGACGAACTCAAAATAGTAAATAATATATGGCATTGGTTTTAATATTTCTTTCCTTGGATGTATGTTTTTGTTTAGATATTTTGTTTAAATTTTATTAACCAATGAACTGTATCTGTTGGTGGACTCTGAGTTACAGAACAGTAAAAGGAAAACTAAAGCTCCTAGATTACCGGTAGCTGCCTACTGAATCAATAAGAAAGTGCTCCGCTTTCCACATAAACGAATCGTGTCATTAAAACTGAATTTTTTTTTAAGGTATTAAAAAGAAAGTTGTTTTTAAAGTATTATAAAAGGAATAGTTAGTTTGGTTGACTTGAGTGTACTTATCCTTATAGATTTTTTTTTTTTTTTTTTGCTCTAATGTATATTCAACATTTAGCTGCTGCTCTATGTTTTTATTTCCAGAGACCAGACTCAGGGTCCAGGGGTCCTGAAACTACCCATCCACTATTCACTATGTTAATCATATTGTTTTTCTTATGTTATTTTTTTATGAACATGTAGCTAATAGTTCTTTTTTTAAGAACTATTAGCCTTTAGGTGTTAGTGAATCTTTCATAATCCAGTAGCCTTTAAACTTTGCTCTGATTCTCAGGTTCTTTTGCTTCTGCTTAATGTGTTATAGACTATGCCTAAAGGGAGGATTCAAACAAAAGATTGATTTTAAAAGCCCAAGAAGACTTCTGGGCATGGTGTTGCATCATATCTCCTAGAAGCTGTGGCTGATTTGATTATGAAAGATGATTTTTCCAGATAAAACGATGACTCTAGTCAGCCCTTTAGATGTACCTGCTTTATGCATTGTGATTATAATTCATAAGGCCCAATGGTAACATACCAAGTAGGGACACTTCTTCCCTTACTTAATAGTGTACTCTGTGGTGAAATTAGAGCTCCTTTAGTTCTCTGAAAGTATACATTCTTCTCTTACATGTACCATTCTTATAGTCATACAATCATGTCTTCATTCCTGTCTCTCATTTTTAGTGGTAGTACAATATTACTGCCTACGGTCCATCTCTTTAGAACATGTGGCTGTCTCAAGACTCCACTTGTCACAGGCCTTGCCTTTCACTTCGTGGATTGCAGTAGTGAGAGGGGAGGTAATATGAGAGCAATACAAAGATGGTTTAATGTTTGAAAATGCATCAGTGTAAATCACTGTAATGTCAGGAGTAAAAAGAAAATTGTCTGACTAGCTCAAGAGGTCTAGAAAATAAGTGATAAAGTTCAGTTCTCTATCATGATAAAAAGTTTCAGCAAACTAGGAATAGAAAGAAACTTCTTCATTGTGAAATACTAGCTACAAAAAAACTAGGTAGGCATTGTACTTGATAGCGAAAGGTTACAGGTTTCCCCCGGTAATGGAAATGAGGCATGGAAGCATGCCTCGATCGCTTCTGTTCAGCAGCATACTGAAGTTGGAACAAGATGAATAAATACATAAAAACTAGAAAGGAGGAAAAAAACTCTATCATTATTTGCAGAAAATAAAATTGTGTATGTAGAAAAATCCAAAAAGTTCTTCAAATTGCCCCACTTAATAAATGAATTTAGCTTTGTCTTTGGATACAAGGCAAAATTACAAATTTAATTTTATTTCTATAAATAGCAGTAATCCAGTTGACAGCGAAATTTAAATAGTGATGCTACTTATACTAGCATGAAAACAACATTAAATCTTTAGGAGTAATTCTAGAAAAAAGTGTGTAAGACTTGAAAACTATAAAATATTGATAAAATTAAGGAAGAATGAAATAAATGTAAGGATGTACTGTGTTCATAGATTACAATGCTTATTAATTGTATTCAACAAAATCTCAATGAAAATGGTAGTGGGATTTTTTTTCCTTCAAACTTCTCAAGCTTTTTCCAGAATTTATCTGCAAAAGGCCAAGAAGAGCACCCTGGCCAGGTGGCTCAGTTACTTGGACCATTGTCCCTACACCAAAAGGTTGCGGGTTTGATCGCAGTTCCAGCAACAAATGTGAGGCAACCAATCGGTGTTTCTTTCTCACATTGATGTTTCTCTCTCTCTCCCCCTTCTTCTTCTCTCTAAAAGAAATAAAACATATCCTCAGGTGAGGATTTAAAAAAAAAATTTAAAGGCCAAGAAAAGCTAAGGCAATCTTAAAAGAAGAATAACAAAGTTGGAGAACATATACTAGCATATGTCAAGATTTGCTGTAAAGGCCTAATAATTAAGACAGTGTGATACTGACTAAGGATAGAGAAGTAAACCAGTTGAACAAAAGAAGAGTTCAGAAATAGCTCTACGTATGTCAAATTTTCATTTAGGAAAATAATAATAATCTTGATCTCTACCCATACTATTCTCAAGTATCACTTCTGGTTTGATTATATATCAAAATGTGTCAGGTAAACTAACAAAGCTTTTAGAAGGAAACTTACAGGAGCAAGTCTGTCAATATGCAGTAGGCATGTTGTTTTCAAAAGGACACAAAAACAGTAGTCACAAAGTGAATTACTGATAAACTGGACTAAGTTGAAATAAAATAATTTGTTTTTTAAAAGATACCATTAAGAAAGTAAAAGAGAGCTATGAATGGTGAAACATATTTGCAATCTGGGAAAAATTCATGTTAGAATATACTACTATAAAGAATCTCTTGTCTGGCCAGCATGGCTCAGCCATTGAGCATCAACCTAGGATCCAGGATTTCATAGTTAGATTTGCGATCAGGGCACATACCCAGGCTTGGGCTCCATCCCCAGTAGGGGGCGTGCAGGAGGCAGCCAATCAATGACTCTCATCATTGTTTCTATCTCTCTCTGCAATCAGTAAATATGTATTTTTTTAAAAAAGAAAGAAAAAGAAGTTTTTTTAAAAAATCTCTTCAAATCAAAAAATACTCAGAAAAACAGGGAAGAGACTTGAACACATATTCACAATGGTCAATAAACGTATGAAAAGATGTTCAATTTCATTGTCAAAGAAATGCAAATTAAAACTGCAATAAGATACTACTACACACCCAGTGACTAAAGTGAAAGACATGAATCCAATTGTTGACAAAGATGTGGAACAACTCTCTTAATACTGCCTATGGGAGAGTAAATTGGTACCATCACTATTAGAACTGACCTATGTATACCCTAGGAGTCATATGCCCATAAGAAAACTTTAGAATTCAGAGGCTTCTTTCAGTTGTATCTTTTATTAGTTTTTAATTATGTATGTGATCATGAATATATTTGCCCTTAAAAAATACCAGAATATTACAGATGCACTTAAAAATTCCCTTGAACCCCTCATTCTTTCCCTCTGTCCCTTTCCCCTCCCTCTACCCATAGAACTAACCTGTTTGTTTTTGCAGTATGTCCACTTTGATACATATAAATCTTGTTAATTCCTTGAACTACTTACAGGATCTTGTATTATTTTTCGTTTATCATACAGGTGGACTTTTTTCCTTTTTTATTTTATTTTATTTATTTTTAATATATCTTTATTGATTTTAGAGCGAGGAAAGGAGAGGGAGAGAGAGAGATAGAAACATCAATGATGAGAGAGTCATTGATCGAGCCCACAACCCGGGCAGGTGCCCTGACTGGGAATCAAACCCCGATCGCCTGGATCCTAGGTCGACGCTAAACCGCTGACCCACGCCCGGCCGGGCATCTTTTTTTATTAATTACAGTAACAGTTGCACTGAACATCATTGTACATCTCCTTTGAATATTTCTCCATCTTTATACTAGATACTAAATTTTTGGTCATGCTGCAAATGTTACTGGCATTTTAACTTTGTGTATGGTATCTTTGTGCAGAAGTTTTAAATTTAGATATTGTAAAATATGCCAGTCTTTCTGTTTATAGGTTTTAATCATGTTGTCTTCTAGCTAAAAAGGGTATTTTGAGTAAAAGTATGCCAGGTACTGCTTGGGATGTTGGTGAATAAGGCAGATAAAAACCTCTTTATTTTTGGAGCTTAAGAAAGCTTTCTCTATCCCAAGGTCAACAACACATTTTCTTTCAGTAATTGTTAAATATTTTTAAAATTTTGGATCTTTAATCTGTCTGAAATTCATTTTGCCATTTAGTATGTGCTGGAATCTAATTTTATTGTGCTACCTGGCATTACTAGTTGAAAAGCAGTAGTTTGTCCATTTAATTATAGTTTCACTTCTTTCATATACTACATACCTATAAGTGCTTGAATCTACTTCTGGATTTCCTGTACTGTTTTGTTTGTTACTGTGTCTGTACCATATTGTTTTAATTACTCTAGCGTTATAATATTTTGATATGTAGAAGGTAAAGTCCTTGTTTCTCCCCTTCTCCCTTTTTGCCAGATTATCTTGCCTATTCTTACATATTTGCTCATACATCAGCACTTTAAGATCTGTTTAATCAAGTTTTATAAATTCTTCTATTGGATTTTTTTTTTTAATTTTATTGCAGTTGCAGTGAATTTTAGAGAATCAATATACTGACAGTATTGACTATTCCACACATCCATGAATATGGTATAGTATTCTGTTTATTTAGATTTTCTTTTATTACTTTCAGTAAAGTTAATTTTCAATAAAGTTATTGCAACATTTTTTTGTTTTTTTTTAATTCTCAAGTACTACCTTTTGTTACAGTAATGAATAGGATTTTTTCTATTACATTTTCTAAATATTGCTGGTATTTGGGAGAGCCACCTTTTTATGTTGATTATCTGGTGACTTAGTGTACTGTCTTATTAGTCCCAATAATTGGTAGATTCTAGGTTAGCGGTCAAATTGTCTATAAGTAATAATAGTACTGTGTCTCATTTTTCCACCTTTAATTTCCGACCCCCTGCTCCCACAGCAGACTTGTGTTCACTGGAACCTCTAGTACACTGTTGAATTTTAGCAGTGATGGTGAAGCAGCCTTGTATTAATTTAATGCAGTGTTTCTGATGTTTCACCATGAAGAACAGTAACTGATGTAGGTTTCTGGTCGATTTTTTTTTTAACAATTTGAGAAAGTTATTCCTATTTTTAGTATACCAAGAGTTTTTATTATATATGGGCATTAAAATTTACCAAACACATTTTTAACATCAATTGAGATGATTTTTCCTTTCTCTCCTTTTTAATTGCATTAATAGATTTTCTAAGGTTGTAAAAATTTTAATTGTATTTAATTTTTAACTAATGTCAATTTTGGCTAGAAAGATCTAAGAAAACATTTTAAGTAGGTATTCTCTCTTGCAGAGGGCTGCCTTCAAAGGAGAGGGAGATGACTCATTAGGAAACTCAGCTGACCAAAGGTAAGGTTGAGTTACCAGAAAAATATTATTTTCTTAATTATATCTAATTATTGTCAAAATAATTCCTTTAGTATTAGAAATGTTTATTCTGTGATCTGCTATACAGTAATTAGGTTTGAATGATCTGTCACTGAATTGAAAAGAAAAAAAAGCCAGTAGCATAGTCTATAAGAGTGGTTCCCAACTGGGGTGCTTTTGCCTCCCTCCCCTCCCCAGATATTTGACAATGTCTGGAAACATTTTTGGTTGTCACAGCTGTGGAAGTTGAGGGTGTGGCTGGCATCTATTGTGTGGTCAGGGATGCCGCTAAACGTCTTACAGTGCACAGGTCATCTCCCCACAACAAACAGTTATGCAGCACAAAATACTAACTGAGCTAAGGTTAAGAACCCCAGGTTAGGAAAAAAGCAAAGTATTGATTGCTATGGGGGAATTATAATAAGAATAGTAAAAGTTTTGATGTACAATTTATTTCACAAGTTAAGTATTTATTAAACCAGATTAAACAGAATATGCCCTTTTTCTTGTATTTTTTTTCTTTAGCTTTTTAGCATCTCTTGTTTCTGAGTATGATAAGCATCTGGAAGAGCTAAATGGGCAGCTGAAATATTACCAGGTATGACATCATTTTTATCAAGCTTTTTATAATATTTTATTATAAAAAAAGAAAAGTAAAATAGACTCCCTTTCTTTTTAAAAACATGGATAAGAAAATATTTAGTTCTCCGTGTGTGTGTGTGTGTGTGTGTGTTCAGTTTGTTTTTTAATCCAGTGTTTTCTTGCTCCTGCTATCTGGCAGGAGCATCTCTTAGATGCTTAGAAACATCCCTTAGTATGTTATTTGCTTACATCTTTATTTTCCCCCAGAAAGACCCAAAGCCATCTCACATCTTTTTAAACCTTTCTCTTTACCTTCATTTTATCTGTATTTTCCATTATATGAAGAACGAATTTTCCCCCAACTTCAAATATTTTCTCTCAGATTTCAGAAGCTATTGATCCATGTCTAATATAGGCTTAAGCTGTAGCAGCATTTTTCCAAATTTCTCAGTAATTAGGGTTTATTTTAGGAGCGAAGGAGAGTGAAAACACCGAGGAAGCTCTCCATATAGATTATCATTATGGGTCCCAGTGTTTCTGAGACTAGGGTTATACAGGAGGAGAACTAGAATAATAGCACATCACTCTCTGGGATACTATCGGAATTTCAGTTAGCTACATTTTTAGAGAATTCCTAATATTTACAATCTGTTTCTTTAATTTGAAAATGTTTTTTTCATTTCCCCCTCAAATTTTGACCTTTCTGATTGTTGGATAATCATACAGTAGAAACGTGTCTCAAACAGATGCTATATGTCTTCAGTGAAGCCCACCAAGAAGTGATTACCTCTTAGAGCAGAGATGGGGAAACTTTTCCCTGCCAAGGGCCATTTGGATGTTTATAACATCATTCCCAGGCCATACAACATTATCAACTTAAAAATTAGCTATTAAAAAGGCTCCTAGATTTATTGAATTTCTAGTCCCACCTGCGGTTGCCTTGGCAGAGCCATAGCAAATGATTTATGGCTCGCAGGATGGATGTTCCCCACCCGTTAGAGTGTTAATATACTCATCGTTGTGTCTGGATCAGATACCAATCCCTGAATCAATGTGGTTGTGACGAGGGTGCAGGGTTGACTTAATTTAATGCAAATAGAAGAAAGTAAAACAACATTAAATAAAAATAACCCCTTAAGACTGATTTCCTCAGAATGGGGCTGTGACTGTGGCAGACACTAAGAACTTTATATCTCTCTTTTCTTTTCATGCTTTGACAGCAAGAGATCCTACTGTATGCTTTAAAGTCTAGCACATAGTAGGCCTCAATTTTTGAAAGATGATTAAATTTCAGGGCTTATTGGACAGGATGATTAGATCTCAACGTTCTTCTATTTATAAAATAATGGTTTGATATGCAGCTTTACTAAAAGAACATGTAATGTTCTTATATCTTCTAAAAATCAAGTTCTTCCATTGCATTTGAAATTATTTATACTTTCATTTCCAAGGTTAATCCTCTAATATATAAACTTATAAAATGATCCTGTAAACCCAAATTTCAAAAACAAACATTCCGTTAAATTGCAGTTTCTGTTTTATCACAAATTGTTTTCTTAGTCTTTACTATGTGCTTTTTGTTTTAGCCTGTGATCATTTAAGTTTTGAGCCCACCATAGTAATGTCTTTTAATCTTTCTAATTGACAATAGCAACAGAAAGCTCTCTTTTGCACAAATGGCATTTTGTTTTCATTCTTAGGACTAGTGTGCTCTGTTTCTGCTGGATTCCCTCTCTTGGAATTGACACATTATGTGGTTTCAGTTGTTATAAAATGGAATAGCTTGTTATCGTGAAATTAAGTTGTTTTAAATTTTTAATTTTTTATTATCTATCTAATTCATATATCTTTTTTAATCAGCTGTTTTACTAAAGAGTTTAACTTCATTTTTCCATTTGGCCTTCTCCATCTAAGAGTGATTACTGAATTAATGACAAGAGAGATGCTGAAAGCCCAAGGGCCTGTGACAACAATACTTTTAGATGAAAAGATGCTGATAGCTATTTCTAAGAACAGTTGCTCACATAGATGTTATTGATTAGAACTAGGTTTTATGATTTATCTTATTGACCCAGTCAAAAAAAAATAATATATCTTGAAAGGAAGAAATATATCACTATAATTCTCCATATGAAAGATTTTCTTCCAGAAGATGTAAATAATAGGGGGAAATTTGATGATATGAGAGATACTGATGAGATTTAGTTTCCTTCTTACTGCTAAGTATTTTGAAATATTTTACACTAAAAAATCTTTAGTGTGACTGTAATGATCCACCCTTAATCCTAGCTAATGCATATAGATTCTGCCTAAGAATTGAGTAATAAATACTTCTCAAGATATTCTGACATTGTTGCTTTTAAAGATCAATTTTTTTAAAAAAAATTACAAAGTGGAGATAATTACTACACTAAAATTCATACCTCCTAAGTAGTGTGGCATTCAAGACCTGCCACCTGTCTTTAATATTATCTCTCACTGAAAAAGATTATACTGTGTGGAAACTTGAATCTACACAAGGGATTCAACGTGAATGAAGATAAAGGCATTTTCCCTTGTTTGTCAACTTCTTTAGGACAAGCAAGCCCAGCCAGGCATGGCTCAGGGGTTGAGCATCGACCTAGGATCCAGGCAATCAGGGTTTGATTCTCGGTCAGGGCACATGCCCTTGTTGTGGGCCCAATTCCCAGTCGGGGGCATGCAGGAGGCAGCTGATCAATGACTCTCTCATTGATGTTTCTCTCTCTCTCTCTCTCTGTCTCCTTTCCTCTCTCTGAAATCAATAAAGATATATTTAAATATATATATATATTATCTCTCACTGCCATCACTCCATGTATGGTCGCTTCTGAATTATCTGGTAGTAAATTCCTTCATTTTGCTTTCATTGTGATTCAGGCACAGCAGGAACCTGGGAAAGATTCACCTTCCAAGACAGCTTTGTAGGTAGAATTAGCTGGTACTGATTTCCTGAGTCAAGCTGCCTTGAGCTTCTTTGGTTGGAAGGGAGAGAAAAAGGCTGGGAACATTGCCTTTTCCACCTTCCCCTGCCAGGTTCCTCCAGGCTTGGCTCCTGTCCTTTAGCCTAGGTACCCAATGAAGACTAAAGGACAGATCAAGAGTTGGTTGTGGTTTTGTTTTACTGTGATTTTATATGGCCACCTTTCTGCTCTGCATTTCCCATTCACTCTTATTGAGAGCTGACTACCATGCTTGTGTTACCCATATTTTTTGCTTCTTTGCTGTTAATTATATTTCTCCCTACTTGAAATGATCTTCCTTGAAATGAGAAAATTAATCATACTGTCATCTCATTCCCTTTACAGTATATATTTTATTTTTCTTTGTATTTTAGTCATTTTTTACCTTTTTCCTATTAAAGTATATGTTAGTGACCACATTGGTTTACTATAAGTCTTGTATAGTGCAGAGGGTTTAGATAATTAATAAAGGTAGTGAATCAGAGACTGAATGAATTAATGCTAAAGAAGATCTTTATATATTTTCTTTTTCGCCATTAACATTTTACTTTTTGAAGTACAAGCGCTTATATGGGCTTCACCTAAGCTAAGGTGAATTAATTAAAATATGCATGCATGGTATAAGGAACATCTGATATTTGTTACAGTGACATAATGAGGAATATCTTTCATCTGTTTTTCTATAAACATCTGTAAATCATAGGAATTACATTTATAAATATTTCTCAATGCGTTATATAAAATACTATTATTTATATTATTTATATTCTATTCAAAATGTTTTCTCAAGTTCTGTATATCATTAAAATATTCATGTTTAATATTGCTTGTAAGAACTAAAGAATAATTATTTCTTATCTGGAGACTAGTGTCATAGAATATGATTGCTTGCATATGAATGGATAACTTAATAGAGACTAATTGTTTGGGAAATATATGACTACAACCATATTGTATTCTTTCAGAAACACATGGGCGAGATGAAACTACAACTTGAAAATGTCATCAAGGAAAATGAAAGGTATATCAATTTACTATTGGTTCTTTTGTTATTGTCTTAGATAAACTTTATTGTTACTATTTGATATTTTATCTGTATAGTATACTGGTTATGAGTGTGGTCTCTGGGGCCTGATTTCTCATTTGATTCCTGGCTCCATTACTTACTAGCTATGTGACCCTGGACAAGTTACTTAATCTCTTTCTACTGTAGTTTCTTCATCTTTAAAGTACATGAAATAGGGTACATAATGAGCACCTTATAAATGTTAGCAATTATTAATAGTATAGTGTATATTATGTATGTTATGAAATTACTGATAAAAAAAACTGTCAAGGACCCATGCCACATAAGAACTAATATGTTACCAAATTGGTGCATCTGCCCAGGCAGTCCTTCCCTATCCTATCCTTCTCTCCCTCTGCAGGAGGTTAATGCTGTCTTAAAATTTGTATTTGTCATTTTCTTGCTTTTAAAAGTTTCTTTATAGGTATATGTATTTGTAGCAATATATTATTTAGTTTTTAGTTTTATTATTTATATGTGTTCATTGTAAATATTTTCTGCTTATAATTATATGAATTGTTTTGAAGTTTTTCTAATAACATACAACTTTTTTCCTCCTAGGTTTGTATCATTTTAAAATAAAACGCTTGCTCAGCAGCATGGCTCAGTGGTTGAGCATCAACCTATGATCCAGGAGATCACGGCTCCATTCCCAACCAGGGCACATGCCCAGGTAGTGGGCTCGATCCCCTGTAGGGGCTGTGCAGGAGGCAGCTGATCAATGATCCTCTCTCAATTGATGTTTCTCTTTCTCTCCCTCTCTCTTCCTCTCTCTGAAATCAATAAAAACATATTTAAATTAATTAAATAAAACACTTTATCAGTCTTTTAGTTTGTACCTTCCTGTGCCTTTTTGTTTGTTTGTTTTTGTTTGTTTGTTAATCCTCACCAGAGGATATTTTTTCTATTGATTCTTAGAGAGAGTGGAAGGGAGGGAGGGAGTTGAAGAGAGTGAGAGAGAGAAATATCAATGTGCCCTGACCAGGGTGAGGATCAAACCTGCACCCCAGGTACGTGCCCTTGACCAGGAATCAAACCCTTGACTCTTTGGTGCACCGATCCACACTCTAACCACTGAGCCACACTGAGTTTTTTGGGGTGTTTTTTTTTAAAAGTATGAACCATCTGTAATTTAGTTTAATATTAATTTTAAGTTGAATTTAAGGTTTTCAGAATTATGGTCAAGCTTATGTAAGAATATGCTGGAAAATAAAGTCTCAGTAATCTTGATTTCATAACTAGCAATAGTTTTATTCTACTCCTGTTTATTAATTGAGATGAGTAAGAAGGCAGGTGAGTTTTGTGAAATACAACAAAGAAAATAACAATTCTACAAGATTCAAAATCCCATTTCCATTTAATTGACTAGATGAAAATACTTTCACATTTTGAATATTTTTTTGACTGCCTTGTTTTATTAATAAGGTATAATATCTGGATTTTACCTTTTTGAAAATTTAAAAACTCCCTAGTACAAACTGAATTAGACTTGAATTAAATATGAACAATTTAATGCATTTGAAATTGTAAGATAATGTTTTTATTCTTATAGCACAGTATTTAGTGGTGAATAAACACTTCTAATTTTTGAGGTCTGCTTAAAAAGGATTTTATGTAAAGAATGATTTTTTGACCCAAATCTTTATTTAACCCTGAAATGTTACTGTTACTAAAATGAATTTAGATTATTACTGTGTTAACTGTTTGTTCCAAAGGTTGCACAGTGAATTAAAAGATGCTGTTGAAAAACAGTTGGAGGCCCTTCCCTTTGGCACAGAGATGGGAAGTGATATATATGCAGATGATGAAACAGTCAGGAATCTTCAGGAACAATTACAACTAGCCAATCAAGTGAGTGACAAATATATTTTTAAAATTCTATCCTGAGTAAAAAGAGTTTTAAAAAAGTCTGTGTTAATCATTATAGAGTGATAACAGATTAACAAAATTGTTAACACTTAATGATTTTCTACAATTTACACAATAGTTAACAGGTAACAAAACTTTTAAAATAATACCCTGTTTGTTATAAATATAGCTGTCAAATATATTGTTTAATTGAATCCTAAAGCTTTTGACATGAATTTATCTTATAAAAATATTTTAATGTCAAAGGAAAATTTTTTAAATGTTTTTATTTCAGAGAGAGGAAGGGAGAGGGAGAGAGAGAGAGAGAAACACTAATGATGAGAGAGAGGCATTGATTGGCTGCCTCCTGCACACTACCTGCTGGAGATCGAGCCTGAGACCCAGGCATATGGCCTGACGGGGAATCGATCTGTGATCTCCTGGTTCATGGGTTAGTGTTCAACTGCTGAGCCACACCAGCCAGGCTCAAAAGAAATTTTTAAAGAGAAAAATCAGTTACCTACTTCCCTAAATTTATGTTTATTTGTGTGTGTTTTTAAATATATATATATTNATTTTTAAAGAGAAAAATCAGTTACCTACTTCCCTAAATTTATGTTTATTAGTGTGTGNACACCAGCCAGGCTCAAAAGAAATTTTTAAAGAGAAAAATCAGTTACCTACTTCCCTAAATTTATGTTTATTTGTGTGTGTTTTTAAATATATATATATATTTTTTATTGATTTCAGAGAGAGGAAGGGAGAGGGACAGAGAGAGTTGAAACAACAAGGATAAGAGAGTCGTCATTGATCGGCTGCCTCCTGCACTCTATGGCTGGGGAACCGAGATCTCCTGGACCCTAGGTCCATGATCAGCTGCTGAGCCACACCTTGTTGGGCTTTGTTTTTAATTTCTCAGTGTTTTCTTCTGGTACTGTCATATTCCATTGTCAAAGATTGCAGAATTCTGTTTTTCTGAAATGATACTTCTAGAATCGCATTCTTTGTTTTTTCCTCCCTCATAGAAATTGAACTATTTGGGAAGCCATGTGCTGTGTATCCTGTTTTCAGCACTAATTTTTTGTGATTATACCTAAGGGAATTTTATACTAATTTACAATTTTATATCCTACGTGTCTTCATATCTTGTAGGAATTTGAAACCCTATTCTTCTACTTTCCAGTTGTGTGCCTCAGTTTCCTCATTTATAAATGGGGGTTAGAAATTCTGTATTACAATGTTGATTCTATAGTTATATATGCAGAGTCTTATTTTTTTATTCCTTGGAAATCTGGTTTTGGAATGGTTTACTTATGAAAGTGATGTTTTACATTAATCAGATAGGCTATATTTACCTTGATAAGGAACATGTATTTAACACTGAGAAATGTAATAGAAGGGAAAAAATGAGAGAATCATGTTTTTTACTTTGTTCTAGACTAGTGTTGTCAGGGAGGATTTATAAATGTTTATGTAGAAGAAATATATAGTAGTTTATGGTCTCAGACTACTATATTGTAGTTTAAAAAATAAAACAAACAAAATAACATGTCTCTTAAAAGCATCTCTCTGTCGTAGCTTTGTTTCTATAATGTCCAGTGCTAAATTTTATAAAAACCTGAAAATTACTCATTCTTTTTTAATCACATTTTTTTACTGTCTCTTTAAAACCATACTCTCATTCCTTACCCTTTCTCTTCCTGTCTTCCCTCTCTTTGCCATTCTGTCTACATCTTACTTGGTCTCATGTTATATCTCTGAAGAGGTCTCACTTTTTTGCTACATTTGGATCATTTGTTTGGTAGAAGATTTGATGAGGTCTAGGTTTGAGCAGTCAGAAGGGGAAAAGCAGATTGACTACAAATTTCCCCACAAAGGTTTTTTCCTGACTCTGCCAATCAACTTGCTGAGGGACCCTACACCAACGGCCTGAACCTAAGTTTCCACCTCTCTAAAAAGAAACTAATGTTCTCTACATGTTCGTTTAGTCTTCCTCAACTGGTCTGGTTTCAGGACTCCTCTTCAGGATGCTTAAGAATTGTTGAGGACCCCAAAGATATTTTCATTCTCATAGGTTGTATAGCTATCAGTATTTATTGTATTTCAAATTTAAACAGACATTTTTGAAAAGGGAGTGTAAGACCACAGTCCAGTAGCCATCAGAGTGACAACAGCATCACACATCACATCATATAAACTTTGGGAAACTCCACTGTACACTCATCAGAAGATGAGTCAAGAAGGCAAATAATATGTTTATATTATTGTGAACATCATTTTGACTTCAAGGATCCCCGTACCACACTTTGAGAACTGCTATATTGAAAGAATGACTTGAGAAGCTTCTCATTATAAAATACCAAGTAAAAATAGTATAATACAAACATTGCACTATATGATTTCCAATTTTGATAAAAGAAAAAAAATACAAAATTCTCCCCCAAGGTCACATTTATAAACATCAATACATCCAACATTTATAAAAATGATTATATCTAGATGTTAGCAATATTTACTATCAGTTGGTAAAATTATAGGTAATTCTTATTCTGTCTTTGTGTATTTTCCACAGTAAACAGTTACTATTTTTACAATTACAAAAAAAGTCTTGTACTCACTTTCCCAAGGGCAGTTTTCTTTGTCAGTAATTTCTAAGGCTTATACTTTGTTGAGGAACAAGGAGAGTGGTTTAATCCATATCTTTGATTTAAGGGTTTTAATTTTACCTATGAAATATAAATTAAAAAATTTCAAAGAAAGGAATTTTGACCTTTAGTTTTAGTCTCTAAATTATTAATCCAACTTTATACCATCAAAATTATTACAATTATACCTCTTTATACAGTTCTAGTTTTTTATTTTTTTATTTTTCCCCCATCACCATTTAGCCCCCTTACCCTCTTCGACCTGTACCCACCTCCCTCCCCTCCAAAATCACCACACTGTTGTCCATGTTCTATTCTAATTTTATGACTTATATACAAGAATTTATTCTGCAAAAGAATATGATTAATTTGTACTATGCAATAGCCTACTAATACTTTAATGAATTCTTAGTTATTTTTGTTTCATAGGAAAAAAATCAGGTTTTCGAACTCTGGCAGACTGTTTCTCAGGAGCTCGACAGAGTGAAGAAACTTTACCAGGAGCATATGACTGAGGCCCAAGTTCATATAGTTGAAAGTCAAAAGCAAAAGGTAAAGTTTGCTATCATGGTTTTCTTGTATGTCAGTAAGAAATCACATTCTAGAGAAACTCAGTTTTGGAAAGGAATGCCTAAGTTTCTAGGGTGCCATTTACTTAACAATAAATAGATCTTTGATGGTTAGAAATCTTTGGAGCCAATAATTAAAGCAGTTCCTACTGTACATTGGGTTTTATGATGTGATTAGCAGTGAAAGCCATATTTAGTGTTAAGAAGCAGCTGTTAGGTTATTATATATAAATAGACCTCTAAAGCTTTTATATTCTTAATTTCTTACCTGGCTTAAAGAGACAAAAACTGTTCATTGGATCATGACCAGTGAAGAAACCTGCTCAGCTAGAATGACAGTGCTATGTAAAATGAAAATTGACACCTTTAAGTGTGATCTTTTACTAAAATAGATGTCAAGTTTGTCTAACATAAGTTAATCAAAATAGAATTTTTCAATAGGAAGGTATCTTAATGGTTGCTTAAAGACTTCTTTCTATCCAAAGCAAGAACCATTGTATATTCTTCCAAAATGGACATCAAGCTTCTATATCATGCTTGTAAAAACTCACTGTCCCACAGGACCATCTATTCTATTGGGAAACCTGCCTCCTTTGTGCTTTTGTTCTTTTTCTGCTAGGTACATTGAAAACTGGAGTAATTCTAGTTCTAGTTGGGAAGTTCTACCTAAACAAGTCATAATAATACTTCCATGATGCTTTGCCATTTACTAAGTAACTTTTCTCTATATGCCCCGGGTTGAAAATAACCCCTGTGGTCTGATCCATAAGACCTTTACCTTTGAGATCTAGAAACCATTTCTAATTCTCTGAGGTGGTTTCCTTGTTTAGGTCAGTCAACTAAACCATTAGGTCTTTTTTTTGCTTTGTTTGTTTTTCCCCCGAATAAGATTATGTTTGCCCTGTAGCTTTGCAGAATTTTTTTTACAAAACTTCACAAATAATACTTTGTTCTTATTTCCCAAGTTATCTATCAATCTTTAATTCTGTCATATGACATATTAACAGCTCCTCCCAACTGTTTGTCACCTGCACATGTAATGTTTAATAGGAGGATAACAAATAATCAAACAATTTAAACCTTGTGTCATTTAAGCTGTGGGAATTTAAAAAATGGCGGGGGGGG